ACGTGTACCCCCCCCCCCCCAACGGCTATATCCTTACGTTACATATTCCAACGACTATATTTCCAACGGCTATATTCTGGGAGCCCCCGGATTTTCTTACTTCACTCCACTTCATGAAGAAGAACCTCCGGGTACACTTACCCAAGGCTTCATATCAGGCCACCCCTCGGGGATTCCCCCTCAGCACTGTAAGGCCGGGTAGCCCCCGGGGAGTATGCCTCATTGACGGATAGCCTACGGCACACAGGTAATGGGAGCCCTCGGATATCCTCATCACCAACTAATCAGCAAGCAGGGGACACCCCGGTGACAATTCAACTACTGCCCTCATCCATCACGCCCTCGATCCTCAGATTGAGGGGCTCCCCTTCGGCACCTCCCAGGACATCAACAACAAGCCTCCGGCTACTAAACACATGAGCCCTCAGAACAAGGAGAGCCTTCGGCATTACCATTATTCTCCATTTTGAGCCAAGGTTTCACGTTTTCGATTCATCATTGGGGGAATTCGGTGCACTCTTTTTCCCTCATTAGGATTTTTTCCCACAGGGTTTTTCCTAATGAGGTTTTTAACGAGGCATCCCCCCAAAATGAAACGAAAAGCGTCAGCCTTCGGCCCGCAACAGCAACGTGACTACTTCACTCCTTTTCACCACTTTACAAGTGCCTCAAGGAGTGGGGGACTGGAGGACCCCCTCGGGAAAATAATTAAATTACAAAATGGTGAAAAATTCCAACAAACGGCAAAGCAATCCCTCAAGTCCCGACATGTGGGTAACTGAGGGACTGCCTTCGGCAGGGACATGAAGGCAACAACTCCTAACCAACTTCAGAGATTACAACGGGACAACATCAAAGGGCAAGCACAAATTACTCCTTTCCCCTCAAGTACCTTTCGACAAAAGGAGTGATGGACTCCTGATGGAGTATATGGCCCGGGAACCCCCGGCCCACAGACTCCTACTACTCCAAACAAGGCCCAACAGGCCCAGGAGGCCCAGCAGGCCCAAATCACAGCGCCCAGAGTACCAAGCAGCCCACAATGCGCACCAGGGGTGCCTTCGGCCCCCTGGCTGAGGGCTCTAACTCCCACAGGAGGGCCAAAACAGGAGAACAGGATGACTGGGGAAAACGGCAAAAATCACTAGACCTCGGCACCTGGAGCCCTCGGCACCAAGAGGGTTCCCAGCACTCAGAGCCCTCGATTAGTCCTCTACAGCCGAGGGCACCTCTCCCGACATAATATCCGCGCCACATGCGTACAGATCACCGTACCCTGTACAAACGTCCCATCCAACAACCGCATTAAATGCGGCCACATGCGGCTGCCAGCGCCAACCAGTTGAGGTGACCTCTCGGCCAATGGGCGCTTGACACGTGTCCCTATCCGGAATTTATTGCTACTATAAATAGCACCCCATTTCCCCATTTGTAACCAAGTCATAACACGCTGAAAACGCTCCACACTTATAATATACTTTCTCTCTCTATATTTACTTGCTCTGACTTCTTTCTTATTACTCCCCGTAATAACCCCTCGGATAAGCTACCCCCCGGGTACACTATCCATCAAACACGAACTGCACTATCCGCACTAGCCATTTGTAAATAATATAGATTAAGAAATAATAGTATGAAGTGAGAAAAAACTATTGTGTGCTGTGGTGAAGAATTAAGAACGAAGTAAGGGTTTTAATAGGTGAATGGAGGGTAAAGGTAGGTAGAGAATGTGGAGGGTATGTGAACACGTATACTTTTTATTATTTCGAAATTAGTATTCACAAATGGTTCATCATGTTGTTAGTTTTGTTATTTCCATTTGGAAATTATGTATCCGAATGGGTAGAGAATGTGGATGTATTAGAAAAACGTAGGCTAATTAGCCATTCGGATTTCAAACTTCTGAATGTGGATTGGCTTTTTTGATGGATTTACAAAAATTAGAAAAATTAGAAAAGTTAGATGGATTGACTTTTTAAATGGATTACAAAAATTAGAAAAACTAGAAAAATGTGGATTGGCTTTTTAGCCATTCGGATTTTCAACTTCCGAATTGGAAGTTACTTTTAAGAAAAACAATTAGCCTCCATTTGGAAGTAGAACTTCCGAATCAAGCTGTCCACGCCAACCTAATTCATTCGGAATATAGAATTCCGAATCCCGTGTTTTCGTACCCCAAAAGGAACTCCCGTGTTTTGGCATCCCTTGTTCAAAACTCCCATCTTTTTGTCATTTCCTCCGTGTACAGCTATGAGGCAGTCCTTTGGCTTTGAATAGTTTACTATAAGAGGGGTAAATATGTACTCCGTAATAGGAACTCCTATTTAAAGAATAAAAAACTTTAACTCCTATTTAGGAATTAATCCTATGTTTTACTCCTATTTTGGTTAAATTCCAATAAAAGGGAAATTTACTAGGATATGACTAAAACTCAACGAGTTTCCCAATCTGTGACCTAACTAGTTTTTAGACTTTTCAATGACCGAAAATACAAACACAAAAAGAAATCTCGTTTATATTTAAAGAGTGAATGACGAAAATACCCTTATTTTAAATATGTGAATTTTGCACTAATTCCGTCTAATTAAAATTACTGCACTTTATATTGTTGTTACTGCACGATATTAATGCACGACTTTACTGCAAATCCAGTAATAATCACTGCACTTCCGCCAAAATTAATTGTTTTCTCATTGAGGAATTGATTTTTAGTTTTATTTTGTGTTTTTTAGATTTAATAATTTTATTATTTTACGTCGAATTAAATATATTGAACTTCATGATGATATTACTGCTTTGTGTTAGTGCAATACTGGTCATAATCACTGCACAACACAATTTGTTAATGCATTTATTCACTGTCATGTACAACATGTATATTACCAAATATATTTAGTGTCCATATTCAACACTTATTGAAATGTTCACTGACGGTGTTCAATACCGATATTTAATGCACACAAACCCTAAATTCAATAAAATCTAATCTCAAGAATATAAAAAAAGAAGAAAAATGAGGTGGTCGAATGGGCATTGGTGGATGGTGACATTGGTTGGATGGGTGTTAGAACCGGAAGTAGTTAACATTATATTATAAGGGTGTAGAAATATTGCTGGACCGGATATCACTTCTAGTCACGTATAAATATGATTTCCTAAAAGTTTAATATCTACTCTTATCACAGTAACCAAGTTGCAAGATAAACTTTTGGAATAAAAAGAAGGTGTGTGTGTATTTTAGTTACCGATAAAATAACACCGAACAAGTGATTGTATATCAAGTGGTGTAAACACTTTATTACTAAGAGCAACCCCAACGTAGGCTGTCTAGTGTAGGTTTAGTGCGCCACTTCATTAAAATTAGACAGGGTCCGTGTAGTTATCTCTCCAATGCTTATAGTCTTCTGCTGACATGGCAAAAAAAACCTAAACACTGTGAAGGTTAACGTTTAGGTGTAGAAAGCCATCCAAACTTGCTGACTCGACAAAAAAATAGGCTTCGCTCACCAAAAAAACTTGGGGAAAAGGGGCAAATAAGGCCACGTACTAACCAAAAAAGGTCAAATAAGGCCTTATTTATGAGGCTCTGTCCGGCCTTCGTCATTTGGGTTGGTTCTCGATGGAATTTTTTGATGAAATTTTTTGAGCATCTTATTCAGTAAGTCTAGTTTACGCATACCAAATTTAAGCTAAAAAGGCAATCGGGAAGCCATTCAAATGAATTCTTTAAGATAATTGCGCAGTTAAAAGCGCAGTTATCTTCAAGAATTTATTTGAATGCCTTCTCGATTAAATTTTTATCTGAAATTTGGTATGAGTAAACTAGACTTAATGATTAATATGGTAAAAAAAATTCATCTAAAAATTCTACCGAGAACCACCCCAAATGGCGAAGGCCGGACAGAGGCTCATAAATAAGGTCTTATTTGACCTTTTTTGGTTAGTACGTGGCCTTATTCGCCTCTTTTCCCAAAAAACTTGCCATCCAACTCTCTTTGCCGAACTGCCCACAAATCGTAAAATGCAGAGGAAAACCAAAAAATTCAGGTCGGATTGGAGAAACTCCCATAAATCATTCTCTTCCCAAAATCTTCAAATTATCGAAGTTTGGTTTTCTCAAATCCTCGAAGAAGCCTCTTTTGACATGTCAAATTTATTTTTTCCCCTTCGATTATTGGGAAAAATCAAGCCATTCTCATACTCTGTAATTTTACTGTTCATCATCCTTGTAGCTTGTAGTTGCTGCCGCATGAGGACAATTGATTTTTACTTATTGGACAAGTGGTGAAGATATTTTCGTTATTGATTTAGATTGTTTTGATGAATCTAAATAAATATGAATATCGAGTATTTTTAATACATTAAGATGAATTGATGTTTTGTGTTGTTGAAGAATATTAAGATGAATTGCTTTGCTGAATTGATGTTCTGCGTAGGTGAAATGGGTGAAGAGATGTGAAGCATCGTATAATTTAGTATTTTAGTGCGAGTATTATTTTAATATACTTCGTATTAAATTCCAGGTAGACCCTAAAATTGGGCCGGTGAGATGGTATGCATTGGAGACATTTTTTATAGTTTAATATCTGGTCATTACACTTCCAATTTTATGTGTATTAGAAAACCTACTCCCTCCGTCCCTGTTTTATCTCCCATTTCGGCTGGGTACACTTATTAAGATAGTGAGTTTTGTGTGGTGGAGAGTTGTGCAGAGGAGAGAGAAATGTGTAAGAATGATTGTGAATCACAAATTCTTTGCCAAGAAGGGAAGGAGGAGATAATTTTGGGACGGACGAAAAAGGAAAGTTTGAAAATAATTCAGGGACGGAGGGAGTATTATTTATGGGTAGCTCTTCCGTGCATTCACATTCCTGAATGTTTTGGTGCATTCAACACATGGCATAATTTTATTTGATATTTTTCCCATGTCAGCTATTCATCTAAAGTTTTCCAAAATTGCACTTGGTCCTTTAGCTGATACGTAATATTTGTAAGCCCATCTTGAAAATAAGCATAAACAATAGCTGGCAAAAGAGTGGAAGACTGCCGCCTTGTTCAACTTTTCCATCCAATCGCCTCCTTCACAGTGAACTTCATCTGTGACCTTTCTGTTCAACTGAGCAATTCGTGAGAGTGGTGCGGTGAGTTATTTCTCCTCATTTTCCATGGAAGTTCTACTCATCGTTATGGTGATAGAAGAGGATTTCCGAATCGTGGTTTCTATGTGTCAGCGATTGGAGACTCTGGAATGTAGCACCCAAAAATGGGGATTTGAGGCTTGGAACTTCTGCAACAAATTCAGAGAAGAAGCTCCAAAAATGGATAGCCCCAAGCTGGCTTACGGCGCTCACCTTTCTTTCTCCCATAATACACGGAAAGGTTATATTCTCTCTTTCTTTCTCTCCTTGTTCGTTAATACTGGAAAACATGTGCATCTTGCACACTGTTTTGGATTTTTGGATTAATCATTCAGTGGCGAATACATCTCGTAAATTAAGAAGTTAACTAGCTTTAGTATTTGGTATGATTACCGTATGAATAACATCATGATCAACCAAAGAAACAAACATGTACTTGGGGTGAGTGGCATTGGAGGGACTGAACTTTACTAATTGGGTCTTGGGTACATGAATTGAACTATATGGACTGTTCCAAGAGGAATTCCTTATGATTGCTTTCATATTATTCGCCCATAAATTCACATGCATACCCATTGTTTCTATTGTTCTGATGTCCTGTTTGGGATGATGGAATTACTTGAATGAAGTCGTTAGAGACTTGGATTTACAATTACATATACTTTTCAACTTGATATTTTTCTGATTGAAGCCATTTCCATTATTGAAAATTGAAGGAAAATCCTCCCCCCACCTTATGCAATTCGTGATTTTAATAAATTGGTGATTAGGGATGATCTACACCAATTTTTTCGTTTTTTGAATTGTTTTGCTCTTTGATACATCTTTCTTATTACATAGCCTTATTTTTCTGAGTTTCCTTCTAGTGCTCATCCATTAATATGTCATGTTCTAGTCTATTTAAGTGAGTTTTACTGGTCTCGTATACTCTATTTAAGTTTGTGCTAGTCTAGGTTTGACAAGCTAACAGGTCTCAATTCGAGCGCGATGTCATTTTAATTAGTTTTATAAAATTTTAGTGCAAAGGCATTATAATCTATAGTTGTCACTTTCGATTTAATGTCACTCATAACTAGGTTGGACTAAGGTGATGATATTGATGATGATGATGATGATGATAGATTGGTAGAATGAATCTTTTATTCATGGAAAGCATTTTCCTAGTCTAATACTATGTATGACACGAAAAAAAATCATTTTATTTGTTCAGGTTCACATACTTGATTATTTCAGGAGATAAACATGGCTATCACTTCATAGAAATGTAACCTGCTATTTGGTTCAAATCACACCCTAGTCATCAGCTTAAGGATTACTCATTCTGATATGTAAGGTATATTTCAGTTTGGCTTTATATGTTTCCTTCCTCCTCCTGCCCTCATATCTGCGTGTCTTTTTCCATAGTCTTTTCAACAATTCTACCATTACTGCATTACAATCATTCCACTCAGTGAAGCACGACGCAAGGGTTTCGTTAAAGACTATCATGAAAGTTGGAGTCTCAACATCAATTAATAGGTAATTAGTTTACGGTTTTTGCACATTTCTACATTTTTTGTTTCTTCTTCTATTATTGTCATTCCTTTTTGGTGATATGCATTTTGGGTTATAATGTTGAGTATGTTATTGGTTTTAAACTATATAGTTTGATTGTTATGATTTTTTATGTTCATTATACCAATTTCAATAATTTTTTATCTTTATGCCTACAACATGTTTGTTGAAATGTTAAATCAAATACGGAGTATTATATTAGATTAGGGATTTCCAAAAACCAATATAGTAGTGCATACTAATTTTGGAGCTACCACTATATAAGTAAGCACCGATTTCCATAAAAACATTTACATTTGCTCTTAATTTTATTTTCATGTTCATGATCCAAATACAAAGCATTGCACAAGAATGAATTTGCAAATTACTGGAGTAAAAACAGATGTATCATAGTAAGGGCTTTATATACTTTCTATAAGGTCCTCTTTATATGATTATTCTTTAATGTATCATAGTTTCTCGATATCAGAAGATTTTTTCATTTCAGGTGAATTTTTTGAGCTGGAAATGCCTAATCTGATTTTTTTAATAAATGCATGCAACTATGAATCATGATTTTCACGATGTATTTATGGTCTTCTTGTGGCTTTAGTTTCTCCAGTTTGTTGTGGTTTGTGAATTTTTATTTATTCTAGGTTATGAATTTTACTCAACTCTTCATTCTAAATTGATAGGTGCATGTGTATTAATTATCAGGGTTATGGTGGATGGAAAACATCAGAAGACATTTGACCCAAGTGTATTCTATAACAAAGACTATAACAGGAGGTCTATTGAAGAAGATAAATAACTCCAAGTTGATTCACATGAGCATAATGGAATTAGAAGAATATGAGGAAATGGTGTGCGTGTTCGGGTGACTTGCAGGAGGATTTATGATATTCCTTTTTTATTTTTATTTTTTATTTTTTTGGATTGGTGATATTCCTTTGAATGGGTGTATGAGACTAGGACCTGCACTTCATATTTGAAAGTTAATCACACCAACCGTAGATGTTGCTGATATGGGAGAATCCTTTGATGTCGCCTCCAATCTCCCATGCAATTTTTGACCATCTCAATACACACGTTTTGGATAGTTTTCATTGTTTTCATTTTTTTGTCTTTCACCATGACTATGGAAGATGAGAGTTGTGTGTGTGTGTGTGTGTGTGTGTACTCATTGAACACACTTAAATGACGGAAGGGAAAATGGTGGAAGGCAAGGGATAGCAATCATAGCATACTACGAGGAGTACAAGAGGAGGGAAGTGAAGGGGCTATTTTGGGTTGAGTTGGATAAATTATCCTTATAACCAACCTTAAAGTTTAACTTATTTACTAAAAAATAAGAAGCAGTTAAAAGCATCCTCCTACATGCTTTTAGCGTATGGCTTTAATATGCTTAACTTTTAAGTAAAACCATGCATTTGAAAACACAAATTCCAGCTTTTTTTGAAGTAAAAAGATGAAAAGTGTTTTTTGATCAATGACAAACATTGCATAAGTACTTTGGATATTTAAAGAAATTTTGAAGGTTTTCTTAAATTAATCTTGAAAATTGCAAATTGAGTAATGGCACCCAAGATGTTACTGCAAAAAATTGATCATTATTTTGTTCATATTCTCTATAGAGTGAACAATACTACGTATATGAATAAAGCTTATCTCCATATGAATGAGAAAGTTAATGCTTTGTAGAAATTGATTACTACTACATGCTTTGTATCTCAAATTACAAAGCATTAGTGGAAGTTTCAAGACTTCTGCAGAGAGTATTATCGCATATGAAATTATAGAAAAGCATTCACAAAAAAATCAGATTTGCAGTGAGTGCTTTTAAAGAAAGTGTCTAAAAATCAGATCTAAAAAAACTACATGCCATCTTCTGAATAATTTTCTGAATCACTATGAAGTGCAAAGAAAGAAAAACAATTTGTACCAAAATAAGAGCCACCAGAATAACACGCTTCACAACCCAAATACAATAGTATCATAATCAATAATCCATAAAATCATTTCAAGGAACAAGTAATCACTCAATCCTTAACAACTATTCTTCAAACCGCACAAAGAAAGCTATACAAACCAACTTTTACATAAACACTAAAAATATACACATCCTGCTATTTATCATTCTACTTTGATGAAGTATTTTCATACTCGTCTTCACTTGGTTATCTAATCTTTGTTTTCCACATTGAGTACTCCCTTTGGAAAAGAATAACTCAGGTCACAGTTTAACTTTCACTTGCAACCCACTGGTTGGGCACATACGCTAAAATATTTGCAAGGCTCGCAAGCTAACCTTAGCTTTTTATTAACATTAGTTTGACATAAGTACTGAATTAACGCCTTAAAACCATTACAATATCCATCTGCATTATGTAGCAAAAAAGTTATGTTGCATACTAAACATATAAATGACAAGGAACAAATAAACAGAGGACAATGAAAAAAGAGCAAGTCAACAATGAGGATGAGTTATAGACTTATAGGTATACAATGAGTTATACACCTATAGCCATGTTCCTATCAAAGTATCAAGGAAAGATGTTTTATTTTAGAATTACTATCTGAAGGTGTAAGTTCAAAAAAAGCATTGTGTGAGCTTTTTAAAAGCTAACAACTAGTAGGTCTACGCTTTGTAGATGGGCAGACATATGAAGCAACAACTTTGAAATAGCAGACGATTCTTCATGTATTGCTCCTCTAAAAAGAGTGATTTACAAATAGCTATAAGTGTTTGCTATAATACTTTTAGGTATATTTGTTAGGTAAAATGCTATTAGAAATTAAACAAATTTTTGAGTGCCCCTGTTACAACTTTAAAACTTTACCATGCTTAAAGCTAAGGAGAAGCACAAGTCACTATTAAACAATTAAAAGACTTCAAGCAAAATTTTACACGTGGTGTCCACTTTGTGATAAGAAAAAGTCTGGAGGAAGTGGATGGGTTCACTGTCTTCAAGAACACCTTTCCTAGATCAAGGGAGGTGTCTCTTCTTGTAACAAGGTAACCAATGAAGGGCCCTAGCTCGAAGAGATTCTCAAGCACATGCTTGTTTCCTTTACTGCCGATTATAGGAACAGACAACTAAACTGATCGTGCAACCAAATATACCTGCGAAGGATTAACTGTAAATGTTAGAGGATGAGGATGGAGGAAGTGTGTATCTGTGTGGCACCATAAAATTTTCTTGAAAAGAAATCATCCAATAATAAATGATCAAGGCAAACAGTAGTCTACGAAGGTACATCCGTACATGGGTTGATAGTCCTAAAAAATATTTACCCCGCAATGATCCAAACAAATGAATTTCCTTGAATTAAAACTTTAAGCATAGCTGTTGTCCAAAACATAAAAGTACAAATCCTGGATTAATAATAAACAAACAATGAATGAAATTGTTCCGATTTTACTTTGTACGCAAAAACACAGTCAACATTCAACAAATGCAAATATCAATCCCTTAGTTCAAAGAACAAAATGTATACTAAGTACCCAAAACCGCCACAATTTCACTCAAACTCTTAATATATACGGAGTACTTCATATAAATACTTTTACACCCAAATGTTAAGAAAAAGATTATATGTAGTAATTTATAAAACTTGGATGACATTGAGAATTGTAGCAAAAACTTGCCCAGATAAATAGAAAATCATATTGCTAAGAGCTAACAACCCATTTACAGAATCAAAAAAGAGGGATATTTTGACTTCTCATATCTTATCCCAAAAAGAAAGAAAAATTGCATTTAATTTACAATGCTCATCAATCAGCATGTTCAACCATACCACAACTGCACCTTTTTAAGGAAATAAACTCCATTAACTAAACTAGCATCTGAAGTAAGTGCATTGTTTTACTATTAAAAATAACAAAACAAATAACATATTGAACTAGATTCATTCAAAATATAAATTTATATATATATATATATATATATATATATATATATATATATATATATGATGGTTTAATGAAAAAGAAACATTCTTTCACTGTTTAGTTCAACTCTCAGTTTCGATCAACTGCATACTGGCATTCTTCAAAGAGACATTGAAAGGAGAGCTTGGAGCTATTAGAGAATCAAAGTATTCAACAATAAAATATGGTGAATAGAAGAGGAAAACAATGTAGAGAATATGTACTTACAAAACACCAAGGATTAAAACTTTAGGGTTGTAATCGAATGTTCTGAGGAAACTTGAAATTAGATGTAGAAATAGAGATAATACTAAACAACAATGGTTAGCTTGTTGAACTGGACTTCAATTAAATTGACACTAAATCAATTTGAAATCAAAAATTTAAATCAAATTAGGGATATACCTTGACGGACGAATTAGGTCATAATTAGTGAAAATTGAACAAATTAGAGATGAAGACACTTACCTTAAGTTGTTCTGAAGTGGATTGAGCCGCTGTCACGAAGTGGCAGATCTGTGCGACCTTGTGGATGACGATACCGGCCTTTTGGATGAGGATGCCGAGCTTTCATTTCTCTCACCCCGATTTCCATGGTTTCAATTCTTAGCTTTTCGCAGAAGCTTGAATGCTTGTAGTAGCTTTCGTCTCTCCCCTAGGTTCTTCGTAAAAGCAATAGGGAGTATCAGAAAACTCAGTAAAATGACAAAAATGGGTGGGGGACGGAAGGAGGACTTGGTGTGCAATAAAAGTACTTTTTTATTAAAAATGTGAGCTGGATTAAACTTACCAATGAGATGGTGCCAAGCGTGGAAATGCACCAAAACATTCCCTAAAATAGATGCACCATAAAATTTTCCATTATTTATTAGTCATTTGGCATAATTTTTTAAAACTAGACATTCAAACATTCTGGATGCTCTAAGAGCATCTCCAATGCTTCACTTTCCACATTAAAAAATGAACGCCACATAATACAACACTAAAGCCGTATTAAAAAACCTCCTCCAATGTTGTCTTTACGAGGTGCTGTTGTGCGTACGTGTTAATGAAAGTGTCGAACTCACTTTCTGGTTTTCAAAAGCCATTTACACACGATGAGTCAACATTTTTTGTTAAAGCTGAAAATTAGTGGTCCGGATTTCTTGAAGAGCCGGCAAATACGCATATCGTTTTTATCCATTTTAGTGGCTTAGGCAGTTGTTAAAGTTTTATCTACGGAACTTCAGTCTTTTAAATTGCATTGGAGAAGAATTTAAACTTTCAATTTATTATACTTCCACTTTTATCTTATGTGGCTTGACATTCCATACATTTTTTGTCATATGTCAAATATTTTTCAATGTTGAAAGTAATAAAGTAAGGCAAACAGACAAGGTTGACGCACTAGTTTTGCCGTATATCCTCAACTCAACAAGGTCCTATTTATAAAAAACATGTAACTCTTTGAAATGGGCAGTTAACAAACCAACCGAAAATACTCTTTCGTTGAACGGCTCTGATGCTTTCAATAAAATGAAAAGGTGCGGCCAATTTAAAGGACATGTCTAATAAACAAAGGAATTCACAAGTCATTCTTTTATTAAAAGAATTAATGTAAAATGTTTCAAACAAACGTGTCCTGCCGCAAAGTAGCATCTATTAAAATAAAACATTTAATATTTTGAATTAAATTAAGAAAACAAAATGTAATTGAATAATACTATTATAATTATGAGACCACAATCACAGTGTACAAAATAGTGCTCATGATGTATAATAATAACAATTACATATAAATATTTCTAAAACACCGTCTTAACTTATAAATAGTTTAGGGCCATGCAAACTAATACTTGAGTTATGTTTTCCAATAAATTTCCAACAATTCTCCTCCATTTATTGAAATTAAAAATGCTCAATTTTTGCCAAATAGACCACTTATCAAGACTTATGCATAATTGAAAATGTCTTAGAGATTGAACTTTCATTCGGTGTTCTTTCACTTGTGATTATTTTCTAAAGGCTTTAACCCCATCCCCTTTGCAGTATTGTACACCATGTCCGGTTGCATCACTTTTGTAAAAGGATCAGCCAAATTCACATGTGATCGTACAAAATCAATCACAACAACTCAAAAACTAATAAGTTCTCTCACATAGCTGTGTCTCACTCCTATGTGCCTTGACTTACCATTTTACACATGGTTATAAGCTTT